TAACACTTATGTGTACTAAAGAGATAGTATGGCGGTAATCGAATGTCAGTGTGAACAGATATTATACATTATACTTTATGTCAGTTTGGAAAGCTGCAACATTTCCATATAAGCAGAAAATGATGTTTGTTTGTTAAATTTAACGTGAAACAACAAATGTGACATGCAGTTATGTTATTGTTTTTACTTTGAAAAGTTCTTTCTAATAGGATGTTCAAATCACTTCAACAGTAGCATATTTCTGTCTACAAATGAAGCTAGATTTTTGAATATATGTATATATATATATATATATATATATATATATATATATATATATATATATATATATATATATATATATATATATATATTTAAACACCAGTCAGCCACATGTTGTTGGTTGAGTAGTATTTTTTGTTTGTTTGTTTGTTAGTTTTTTTTTTTCTCTGAAATAGGACAAGGTTGAACCACAAGACTTTGTCACAGGAAAGAATTTTAGGCCTTAACTCGGTTTTGATGAAATGTGTCGTAATATCACTTTTCCTTCAAAAAGTAGACTTGACATTCTATATCTGTGCAGTTATTCATTGATATAAAGTCATAATTTATTTGTTTGTTTGTGTGTTTGTTTATTTTTATATAGTAAACAATAAATTGTAAACTAAAGAACATTAAATACTTAATAATAATAATAATAATAATAATAATAATAATAATAACAATCATAATTTTTACATGTATTTATTTATTTATTTATTTATTTAATTGTTGCTTTATTGTTGGACAATACATTTATCCAACTAATTTAAACTAAACTAATTAACAATAAATACTACTACCACTACTACTACTACTACTAAAAAATAATAATAAAAAATAAATAAATAATAATAATAATAGTGATATTAATATTTTACTTTTATTTATTTATTTAATTGTTGCTTTATTATTGGACAATAAATTAATTAAACATATTATTTATAAGAAGAAGAAGAATAAACTTTTTTACATGTATTTAAACAAAAATAAACAAACCAATAATAAATAGTTATTTATTTGTTTATTTATTTATTTAAAGAAAGAAAGAAAGAAAGAAAGAGAAAGAAAGAAAGAAAGAAAGAAAGAAAGAAAGAAAGAAAGAAAGAAAGAAAGAAAGAAAGAAAGAAAGAAAGAAAGAAAGAAAGAAAGAAAAATTATTGGTTTATGGCTTTGTTTTATTAATGGACATTAAATCCTAAACTAAATAAAAATAAACACTTAATTTTCACATAAATAAAAAAAAAAACTACATAAAAATGTTTTGGTGAATGTTTTGCCTTTTTGAAGTGTAAACCATAATAACTTATGTTTTTCTGCCCCTACATCGATTCATGGAAATGACTGTTTACAGGCAGTGTATGAAGGCATATTCTGAAGAGACAGCGGAAATGAGTTATTTGATAGAAGCCTGTTGTTAGGAATCCTGTCAGAAATCAATTAGCTCTTGGTATCAGCCTCTATGAATGGCGATATGTGCTGGAAATCACTGTCTAATTCCCAGAGGTGCTCTGTCAGTTGATGGCCTATCAATTCTGCATCCACTCTTGTCCTCCAGTAAATGAGCTGTAAAGATGAGTCAAACACTGCAGAAAAAAACCTCATTTAGCAAAACATCTGCTTGTCAGGTAAGAAATCATTTGACAGACAGTAAGTGGAACTCATCAATTAAAAGAATGAGTAGACATGAACGGACACAATCCCCAGCATGTTGATTATTGATTAGTCCATGTGTGCATGAATGTGTCTGTTTAGCAACACTGAAAAATGCACAAAATAAATAAATAAATATATATTATGTATTATATAGTTTTTGAATCTGATTGGCTGATAGCTGTGCGATATTTTGCAATAACAGTACATCTTCCTCTCAATTGTGTATTACTCGCCCACAGACAGTGATAGCAGATCAATAAACTCACTACAGTTTGACAAATATTGCAGCTTTTAGGCAACGTAATGTACTTTAGAGTTGTTTAGATTGCAACTATGCTAATTGTTTATAAGGATAATGCCTATTTTAAAATATCTGAGATTCAGCATGCCGGTGGCCATACTTAGCAGAGCAAAGATGGTTGACGTTCCGCCACAAGATGGCGACAGAGACCGCATAATATGTCTTTATGGGAAAAAAAATCAGGGTAAATTTCAAACTACAGCTGATCAAAACAGTATAAAACACATAAATAACATACTAAGTCGATCTCTCTTTTTGTATGCTGTAGTGCTGTATTTATACCATAGTAATCTGGTAGTGGTTGCTTTGGCTTTTTCAGGGTTAATTATTGTGATCTCTCGATTGCACAGAGAAATACATGGTAATATCTGTAGACTGATGGCATTTCACCAATATGATGCCGTTCATAATAATCAATTGTGCGCCAAATCTCCTGTTTTGTTATCACTTTAGACATTATGCTAGAGAATCATTCAGTGGAGTCCTATGTGAATGATGGAAGAAAGTAGTTCCTCGGATAAAAGGACTTTTAAGACTCTCTGTGTTTGATTTTCTTTTTTTATATACACAATTATGTCTTCGAGCTGTTGTATAAACACAATATCACACTTGTAGCAGTGCAATATGGCTGTATATCGTCACTTGTGAGACACCAGGGCACTCAGCCTGCGGCCTTGTGCCAAACCACGTCTCACACTAGTGCTGATAAACAGCCATATCGCACTGCTACTCGTGTGTTATTGCTCATATATATCAGGAATGTGCGGTCAGGGGAGGCAGGTGAGGCACTCATCATCCTCAGCTGCTATCATGAAATGGATACTAATATTAAAATAAATATTTGTCTACGGATATGTGCTACAAATGCAATTTCTGTATGATTCAATCCTTTTTATAATTAAAATCACTGTATTTTGAGTATTTTGCATTATTGATTTAGGCACCACAAATTACAATACATTTATTATGCTTTATATCCCATTTCTCCTATGAGGTTCAAAGTTAGTTAGTTGGTTGGTTGGTTGGTTGGTTGGTTGGTTGGTTGGTTGGTTGGTTGGTTAGTTAGTTAGTTGGGTTGGTGGATTAGCTGTATATTATTGTTGTTAAGCAAAAAATGTAAACGCATAATAGGCTGAAATAACGTTTGATTGAAAATAACCAATATTATAAATTTTAAAAATTGACAAATTACCATTTGTGTGTAAACTCTGGTAGTTTTATATTTATTTATTTATTTATTTATTTATTTATTTATTTATTTATTTATTTATTTATTTATTTATTTATTTATTTATTTATTTATTTATTTATTTGTTTATTTATACTTTGTTTGTTTGTTTATTGTTTGCTTGTTTTGTTCTATTTTGTTTTATTTTGTTTATTTGTTTTTGTTTGTTTGTATTTATATGTTTATTTTTAAGAAAAATTATATTTACTGTCGATTATAATAATAAACAGGGCACATTTCATGAATAAAATAAGCAAAGAAACTGCACTAGACTGTTGATTGACTTTATGCTTATTATTATTATTATTATTATTATTATTATTATTATTATTATTATTATTATTATTATTATTATTATTATTGTTATTATCTTTGAATCATTTCTCATTAAATATTAATTCAATATGCAATCATTCTTATTACAGTTAAAGTCAAAATAAT